AGTCAGAAGTGGTGAGTTGCTGTGGTTTATACGAAGGTGGTGCAAACACAAGCAGAGTCATTGATTGTTTGCTGCTTTGTGGTGCGATCAGATGCTGCAATCGGAGCTAGAGCAGCGGCGGTCAGACTTTCGCTTGATGGAGTCCGAGCAGGACGTGAGCGACTCGTTTAAGATCTCTTTTCGCAGCTTCAGTGTGAACGACCTGGCACTGTTTTTGCCGACCTCAGCTCCTGGGAGTGATGTCCAACGGGTGTATCTGGCTTTCCATCTCGGTTGTCCACACCGCTTTCTCTCGGAAGAGTCCATTTCGTCGTTCAGCAATGACGGGCAAAGGTGAGGTGCCATTCACGTTGTCAGTTTTGTTTGCGACTTCTTGGCTTTCAACTAACGTGTTGGCTGGTCAATTGCTAGATATCCCGACTACGTTGTGGGTCGCATCGTGCTGATTGACGAGCAAACTGCTGTTGATGGCAATAATCCATACGCACTGCATCTCGGGACCACTTTCTACGTCTTGACTGTAGCCAGTCTCCATGAAAGCTAGGAGCTCTTGTGTCGAAACCCACGATACCTAAAAAATGTATGATGACTGATGCTCCACAAAAAACACTAATTTTTAGGTACAATTCTGCTGTCGAAAACGTGAAATGGCATGTCTCTGCGGGACCTCCGCTGATTATCATGTGCTTTTTTGTCCTGCCAAAATCGTAAAAGTCTCGGAAAGTAATAATTCGTCAAGTACTTTGAATCTGCCCATCATGAGTGCCAATGGAGGAATGCCTAACGTCGGGGTCACAACTGCCAAACGTGCTGCCGAGCAGTTCGACCAAGAGTTTCAACGCTATACGACCAAGCAGGTGGGTTCATGCTCGCTCGATCTACCCATCTTGATATTCGCGTATTGTTTTTTATTAATTTGTAGTTATATATAGTTTTCTTAAAAAGTGCTTGTTATCGCTTGGCGTTAAAATGTACGAGAATTGACATTTCGGATGTGGGCGTATACGTATACATGGGGACATGGTAGACTGGCAAGAGTGCGCGTGCAGTGGCCATGGCTCGTGCGGAGCTGGCCAAGTACAATGCACTGGTGTTCCAGGACAAGAAGCTCGAAGAAGCTGGTGCGAAGAAGGGGAGGCTGACGCTGGAGACGCGGGCGGCCTATGAGAAACGGATCAAGGAACTTGAAGACGCTCTGGATTCCTTCCATCTCTCGGTGGCCGGATACAACAAGACAAAGGCCATGTCAGTGCTGTCTGTCGCAGAGCCTTTGTCGAGTCTGTGACTCGAGACCTGGTGCTGATTCTGTGTGGTTGCATTGTGGCCGTGTTCCTGTCTGTGCTGTGTAATTTTGCGTGCTTTTTTAGCTTGTCCTTTGTGCTGCTCGTGGTGTTTGCTCTTATAATGTTCTTCCAGCCATGGGCCAAACACTTTGAAGACCCGACGGACCTCACGTACGATGAGTACGCGACAATGGAAGAAGCACCGACTCAGACGGTGGAACTGAGAGACGACGAGCTGTAGGGGTTTGCAGTCTTCTTGCAGATTTGGACTTGAATTGCTGAAGTCGGAATCTGTAACATCAGAGCAACGAGTGTCGGTAGGCTGGCTTGAAGGTAGAAGTGATCGTATCACGAGTGCAGCAATTGCAAATTCTGGATTCAAACAACATGATTCTGCTGTCGAGCAAAGTGGTTAGCGAAGTCTTCGACCGGCACAGCTAAATGTCGGTACGCTCAAGCAGATTCTCACTTGGGTGGAGACATTCATCCCTGTTCCATTGCAGGAGGTTTGGCGTCTCGTTGCTTCAGCGGTCATGATGGACAGCCAGGAATATGCTGCTGGAAAGCATGCATTAGCTGTACAACCTCGATCGAAACGTTCCCATAGCTGGCCAGTGCTCGTCATTCACGTTCCAGGGCGAGAATGCTTTACACTCGATAGGTCAGCGCAGCCGCTTTCACGCGATTTTGTAGTTGCTCACAAACTCGCTCTTTGATGCCTGTAGGGGGTTTCACGCCAGCACCTCATTTAATACGCATTTGGGTTGTCGACACCCTGTGCCATTACCTGTATCTGCCGCAGCGCCAATGAGTTTGAATAGCTCCATAGATGACCTTCTGACCTCCTTGCTTTCATAAATAGCTGCAGTCAGTAAGTGTGAACTGCGTCGTCTTGAACGCTATAACAGCTGCACAAGAAATGCTTCGACACGTCCAAATTTGTTTTGACCCCGCTTCGGCTGCTTGTCGTTTCAGTCATGCATAAGTTGGTAGCCCAAACAAGCGAGCCCTGGTGTGTTCAAGCCAGAAAACTGCACGCGAACGAATGCAGCACTACGATTCGCTTCCGGTTGACGCCCGGATTCCATTCGCCTCGCTCGACACCTTAAACTTAAGCTCCAATAATCGGGCAACGAGCAAGCTTCTTTGTGGCAAACTGAAGCACGCCTCGTTTAGTTGAGTCAACACCCGTTCTGTCCTGGATAATGTTGAGTCGGAAAAGAATCCATCTTTAGGTTCACTCCAAATTATTCGCGGTGGCAGAGCTGTCAGTTGCTCACATATTGGCCAGCACCGACTATGGGGATGTTTTAGCACCTGGCGTGCGTGTCTGACCTGCCGCGAGGTCTCATTGATACAGCACGTCCAGTGCGGATAACATCCTGTGGAAAACGAAGCTTCCACTAGCGTGTCATGTAAACCGCGCTAGGTCACCGCTCTTCTGCAAGCGGCGCCCTTTTGTTCCGTGATGACGTCGAACCGCTGGATCGTGTGAATGATTGCAAGATTCACCTACCACGACAAAACAAACGCATAAATGCAACATCCCTGTTCGTAAGTGTTCGCTTGGCTACATGACCCACGCACTGGACAAAAGCGCACCTCTGTCCTTGCCTTCTCGAGCGAGCCGAAACGTTCACGGTCGACGAGTACAGTCACTTTCACCGTGAACATGGCGTGAAGCTCAACGCGGACAGGCGAAGAAAGCGGTAAAATTGGCCGACCAGTCGCATCAAATGCGCTCGAGGTGGTGCGCGTTCTCCCACGAGTAGGGGGTGTAGCAGTGCTGGATTCGCTACTTGCAGTGGACGGATGCTGATCTCTTGGGACGCTGTCATCACTTCCTCCACTTATGCTGTTACACGCGACACTATTCGATCGGATAGCATAGACCTCGCGGCGATCCCTGCGTAGTGCAGAAAGCGCTTGCATCGTCAAAGCGTACTCTGGCAAAACAATCTGCAGCTCATGCACCAGCTCTTTGATCTGTTGGACAGACGTAGTGGGATGAAGGTGCAGCGTGACCGAATGTCTGTGGGCATCCAAGGCATTGCCGCTCGTCTGATAATTATCGGCAAAGATGCCATTCGGGACAAATATCATCGACCCGTCGGTTCGTCGCATGGTTGTCCTAGCAAGCGACACGCGTTCGATGAACCCCAGCAGATTCCGCACTTTTACTTCACTACCAGTGCGAAAAGGTTCTGCAAAGATAAGAAAGAGACCCATCGCTACATTTTTCAGCTACTCAAACAGGCACGAAATACGTAGAAAAAGAGTGAGTTCTCAGCAACCCCGAAATAACAGCAACATATCATACAATGGACTTCTTACCACTGTGAAACCTGCGAGCACAACCACAAGTTCGACGCTCAAGAATCCGACGACGAGGAAGAACCGCATGAATGGATTCGAGATGAAGAAAATGTAAAAGATCTCAATGAGAATAAACACGATGCACATAAACTTGATGAACTCCGTGATAACAAAGACACGCGCGTCATAGTCCGACGAGTAACGATCCCACTTGAGATAGCGAACAAAAGCCTGTAAAACATGATCATCACGAGACGAATCAAAAAAGTGGCACCGTCAAACGTCAAATGAAAAATCAGTTTAGCCGTCAGTCAACAACAAGGGCCATTACCCACCCCCCCCCTCCCGACGAGATGATACAACGAGCCAAAAAAAGGTCAATCAGTTCTGCTTCGTACATTTGTGATAACTTTGCGCATCGAAAAGGTACCGAGTACCAGTGGGATGGCTACAAGGTAACCCAAGTACTGCATCACCTCGTCTTTCTTGCTGCCCAAACCCAGAATGTACTGAGCAACGACATGTCGCACCAGGAATAGGAACAGGAACCACCAGAGGTACGTGAGCATATAGTGCTGCACATCTGCAATCCAGCTGCACAGAGTTCAAGCAAGTATTAAGTTTGAGATTCTCAAGGTCGACTTTGTCAACTCTTTCAATTGATAGCATGGTGCCCAAGATCGTACCGTACGCGCTTGTCGAGACGAGTGCGGACAATGTGGAGCAGGCCTTCGATCACGGGTCGAGACAGTAGGAACGCTGCGATCGTTGCCAGCAGCCCCAGGCCCAGGCGCCACAAGGAGAACTGCATTAGGTGACGCTGGCGATGAGCTATACACCTTTGTATGGACAGTGAGTGTACAAATGAAGGTCTCTACATCTGATTGGATGATAAGCATCACTGTGTATACACACTTGTATACAAACCCTTGTCTCTGAAAATGTACCCCCTGGGCGGATCACGGGGTACATGTTCACGCTCACATCGTCACGGACCAGCTGTCGCGGCTCTGTGCACTGTCCAGACCCTCTTCTATACTTTTGCTCTGAACCGAAAGTCCACCAGCCGACAAAAACGGGCCAAGAGAGCAGACGCAATTTAGCACCAGCCACTTTGTCCCGTCTGCAGCGGCGGCGGTCCTCCGACATACATTCCGCCCGTCTAGTCGACCTTTTTTTAACAGCGATAAGCCAGCATGACCTCAATGGCCCGTCTCTTGCTTCAACCGCTGTCGCAAGAAACGGGCCTCGTTGGTTGCCTAACCTCCCACCGAAGTCTCCTCCGTATCCTCATCCTCCGCATCAAACAGCAGCAGAGCCCCAAGCTCCAGTACGTGTGCGGAGCGATTGCGCGCGTGCTTGCGAGCCTCTAGGCTCTGTGATCCACGCGCCACTAGCAACATGAATGTGGTACAAGGAGAAGAAATGGCCGTGGTCCAACGCGCGCTAACAAGCGACTCGTCGCGCAATAACGACACGGCGCTCTCGGCGTTTCAATTGGACGTTCTGTACATCGTAATCTTGAGCTGCTCGGCGCTGTCATTGGTCGGCTGTCTCTACATTATCCGCCACCATTACGTCTCGTCGAGACACCATCGTGGTGTCTCGATGGTACAAAACATGGTGCTTGTGCTCTCGGTCTTGGACGCAGGACTGTCGTTCCCGAAACTCTTTGGTAACCCACTCACCGCTGATGCTGTCGTGGCCACTGCGTCGTGCAAAGCGCAAGCGTTTGCTTTGCACCTGTTTGGCCTCTTGTCCGTCCTCTGGAACGCTGCAATCGCTCACTGTTTCTACCGCAAGATTGTCTGTCGTGACAGCGAAGCACGACTCAAGAATCGATTCAAGCTCTACGTGCTGCTTGCACTCGTGCCGGCCATAAGCAGCAGCGTGGCACTCTATGCTGCCAACGTGTTTGGCAATGCCACGTTCTACTGCTGGATTAAGTCGCGCTCGAAGCAGTTCTGGACCTTCTACTTGTTTGTCCTTCTCGCGATTCTCTACGTCAGTGTCATCCTCTGCGTCACGCACAACCGCGTCTCGCGTGACTTTCGCGACGCGCACTTGGATGCGCAAGAATCGTCGGCACTCATCACGTCCAAGCTGAGGATTTACATTGCAGTATTCATTGTGCTCTGGACGCCCAGCGCGGTCTTTCGATGTAAGTACTCTATTGCTGTTGTTGTAGCATAACTCTGGGCGGTGTACTGACGATGCAACGATGGGGATACCTGCGACTGTAGTGTTGTACGACAAGCTTGGCCTGGCGACGTTTACAGTAGCGCTGTTGATGCAGGTTACCGTGTGTACGCAGGGCCTTGCGACTGCCATTATCTACGGAGGACTGCTGACCAAGTTGTATCGGATAGTCTCGTGCAAGCCACTTGCCGTTCCAGCGCACAAATTTGTCGCCTCGTCATCGTTTCCTACGATGGACACGACCAACACCATTCTGAGTTTGGTGAAACACTATCGCCAACCTGCGAACATCTTCGTGTCGACTTTCAACATGGGCGAAGCTAAACTAACACCTGCTCAGTTAGGCAAGTGGATACCGCTTGGACACGACGTGTACGTCATCGGTCTTCAAGAGTGTCTACATCTTACAGACACCCGCAGCTTGATTTGCCAGCACCTTGAAGGAGGACGTCCACGACCAGCAACAAATCGAGCAGCCTGCAGAAAATCCACGTTCCACCAGTTTAATCGCGAGATTGGCAGCAAGAACAAGTCATTGGGTTACCACGGTCACATCGCTATTACGGTGTTTATCAAGTCTTCAGACGTGGACAGCGGTGCCTTCTACATGCCACCCGTGGTGCAGCAGGAAGTTAACGTCGGTAAATCCCTGGTGCTGGGCCGGGCGTCGAACAAAGGTGCCGTGGGTTTCGCGTTTCGGTACTACGACACCTCCTTCGCATTTGTAGCGTGTCATTTGTCCTCAGATCCGAAGGTGATTCCATGTCGGGAGCTTTCCATTTGTTCAGCGGTGCTGTGCTGTGTTCGCTGACGTATCGTTTGTCGTTTGTTGCAGGGGAAATCCAAAGTATGGCGACGAAACCGTGACTCGCAGGATATGCTGCAGGAGCTACATTTGAATCTCGAGGACGTGGGTTTTGAGTTTCCACACGTGCATCACCACAGCTTCGTTCTTGGAGACCTCAACTATAGGCTGACACAGCGTGATGCAAGCGCAAATACCATCCTGGAGATGGTGTCCAAGGTACGGCAGTGTGAAACATTGAAACCTGCGCCGACCAAGAGGACTCGCAGATTACGCCGCGGGCTGCTTGGCAAACGATGGAGTCCGATGAGAAGTCGTGGTCTCGCGAGTTCTTTCGGACTCGGCAGTTCCCAAGGCGCTAGCAGCGATCGAGAGATCAATGAGCTTGGCGTCAGCATGCTGGAGCGTAGCGTCAAAAATGCTTCGTCAGCATTTGCTTCTTCGAATGAAAGCATCCACAGCATCCAATTTTCAGCGGACAGCGAGCGCGTGGACGACGATCAATTTGTGTGGGATGATGTGTTACTGCATGATGAACTGCAGGCCGGTATGCGAAGCGGACAGATTTTCTACGGTTTCCATGAGGCGAGAATTGCATTCCCGCCTACGTTTCGCCGTGTGCGCGGGGCGGCACTGAAACTTGACGGGGCAAATTGGCCGATACACGAGTTGACAAAGTGCTACACCACAGCCGTAGCGGGTCACGGTATGCGGGTACCGTCATACACGGATCGGATTCTGTTTTTTTCTCAGCCGGATATGCGTCATCGCTTGCGATGTGCCGTCTATGCCTCGTGCGAAGAAGTCAGCTGCTCTGACCACAAGCCTGTGATCGCAGTGTTCCAAGCTCTGGTAAACCGCGACTTCCTGCCGATTGAGACGGAACTCTCGACCAAGAAGCTTCAGCGAATGCAGGATGTGCATGGCGTTCTGGAGTGTCAGTTACGTTTGAGCTTCAGCAGTATGTCGTGGCAGCCTGATGCAGCGGCCGATTTTTCTCGTACGTCGTCCGGCACCCCGATTGATATCGATCAGCGTTCCTCGAGCTTTGATCGTCACGGACACCAAGTGATGGTGACGACCGTATTCCCATTACCATCGGAAGATATCTTTTCAGCGCAGCGCAAGCTGCTAGAGCTAGCGGACTCGATGAGTGGTGGCGTGTACTTGCAGAACACTGATCGACTGCTATGTAAGACAAACGTGGCTCACGTCAAGTGGACCGACTTCGTGCGTGACGGTATCACTCACGCCACTTGTGCACGACCAACTGGTAACATGCACGTGGCGATAAAAATCCATGCGGGTAGTCAGGGTCCATGCTTCGGTCAAGGTGTGATCTGCATTCCACAGACAACAGCTGACGACGGTGGCGATCCAGCAGACGGAGTCCAGAAGCAGAACAACTTCGTTGTGGAACTCGCACACAGTGGAAGACACACCGGTACAATGTCAGGCTTTGTTAGCCTGCAACTTTTGCAACATGCCAATGATGCCTGACGCATAAACCACTGCCGAAATGGGCGAATCGGCTAATTATTAACATCGATGGGACGTAGAAGTACCTCAATTTCATTCAACCAACCAGGGATATTCATACTTCGTTGGCACGATCCCCAAAAAGTCGGCGGTGCTGCAACGCATCGTTATTGCTGGAGATGCGTCGCCCCAACGGTTCGCTTGCCGGCGGTGCCCGCCTCCTTCGGCGACAGCTCGATATCCCTGAAATCGGCTGTGGGACAAAGCTCGAGTGTCGTTCGTTCATATCTGGCACTTCGATATCAGCCGGCAACGGAAGGGCTGATAACTCTGGCTTCACGTGTTCGTTTTCATTTCCGTACAGACTCAGCTGGAGTTTGGTCACCAGCTCCGTTATGCGTAATACGATCTGTGACAGTGACAAGCAACAGCAATGTCAAACAGCATGATGCAACAGCCAAAGGGACCGCATACATCGACAAACCTCAGTCTTCTCGACCAGCAGCTTTTTGATGTGTCGCTCCTGCGAATAATAGACGACGTGTACTAGGTACGGTGCCTCAATGCTGATCCAGAAGCGGCCCCGAGGTTGAGATGCTTCTTCTATTGCAAGCTGTTTGTTGCGTTCGTACAAGTTCATCATGTTCCACCCACCTTGCGGCTTCTCCAGTCCAAGAATGCCCCCTTTTGTATTTGCGTGGCAATCCTTCATGTGCTGCGTCAGAAAACTATCTAACTCTTGGATGAATATGCGAAGCGCTGTCGTGCGTGTCGCGTGGCTCAGATGCACAGGAATGACACAGCGCCGGTCTAGACTCTTTGTCTGTACCGTGACTGAGTTTTCCAGCATAATACTGTTCGGAATGTATGCCACGCTCTTGTCGTACTGGCGCAGCGAAAATCCCTGCAGAAACAGTCGCTCGACCACTCCTTCGTGGCCCTGGAAGGATACGTGAAGTCCGCTCTTAATCTGCTCATCTTGCAGCGTCATTAACCCACCCATGATGTTTTTCAGCTACAAAAAACAAACCGCATTCACCATCAACAGCAAAACTAACATCAGTCTACTTCAAAAGAGAAATCGACAAACAGAAACGTGACCGTTTCCACTCTAACTGCACGTGTACGTACGTACCCAAGAATGTGCACCGAACACCACCACAAACTCCACCATAGTCACGGCCACCGTGGACACTTGTCCCGACTCAAAGTCGGTAAACCGACCAATCTCATCCACAATGCACGTCGACACGACTGCTGCCACCAGCAACACTTTAATCACCTAGTCAAGCACAGATGAGCAATACCACCACCACCACCACCGCCACCAGTATATACAATACAAACATATCAGCAATAAGGACGTCAACAACAAGAATAACAACAATACCACTCGTAAAAGTCCTCTAAATAGTCATCGACTACGACCAAGCCCACTACTAATATCGAAAACGCACGCCAATTCCCTCAGTAATAATCATGACGCGACTATAGTCGTCGTCATCTTTCGACACAGCTCGACTCCATCCTTGGACGCGAATGATCCCCCACGCAACGTAATTGCACAGACAAATGACGGTCCAGACGAGTGGCGGCCCGAGCAAGAGCGTCACAATGCCCTGCAGCGTGCCCGCTTCCATGTCCACGAGTGCATCCAAGTCCATCACATACGTCGAGAACCACGCGAGGAGGACGAAAACGACCCACGAGAGCGGCCGCAGTAACATCGTTTCAAACTCGCGCAGCCACGCGAACAGAACGGGGAAAATGCGGCGAGCAACGCGCAGCGAGAAGCGAACGACTTCGACGCGAAGGATGTAGGACGCAATGAGGACAGCAAAGCCAAGCACGACGCGCCATTGGTCGCCGGAGGAGGTCGTGGACGCGGCTGGCGCGACGACGGAGCTCGTCTCGGGCTGCGAGGTGTTGAACTCGCTCGTGTTCATTTTGCGTTGTGGGTTGTGAGGTGTAGCTTGTGGTTTTGCGGTGATTGCTGTATTCGTTGAAAAGGGGATGGATTACAAGAGAGGGGATCCAATCATCAGAAGGCGGATAGGCAGGTGACGACGAATCAAAGGGTTTGAAAGACGGGGTGTCATTGACGTCCACTGTTACTTCGACTTATGCTACTGCTACTTCTAGCACGATGCGGCCACCACTACTGCTGCTACTTCGACGAATGCAACAACGGTTGCTACCACGACAATCGTCGTCCCTCCATATAAGAACCCCTATCGAGGGTTACATTCCTGTTGAAGGAACTCCGTGTCCCGCACCAAGCTGCGTCACTTGGCTTTTGTATGCTGACTCGACATGAGAGATTCAAGACATAGGGTACTGTTGAATGCACCCCATTTTTTTTACTGAATACACCCCATTCACCACTCCCTAGTACACCAAAATGTGGTATGTACGACGAGTATCGCGCCCACCTACCTCTGTGCGACCACTTTGGCACAACAATATGCGTCATCGTACAAACGATGAGTGCTTTGATCAGTCAATCTCGTATTTGCGAAATGGCCATTGCATCAGTCAAAAAGCAGCTTTGAGCACGTAAACAGACTTCTCAGTCCGTCACGTGCTGTAGTAGCATAATGTACATATATCGATATTAGTAAGCACTAGTGAACAAAATTACGAGGGAAAACAAACTGTCGCGCATGTTTAGCATCTTGTAGGGTGAACATTATGACCTCGCCGCATGTTGTTCTGGGAATCCAAATTGACTACATTGCTCGATCGGGACTAAACGGGGGACAGACCGAATACAATATTCGTGTTGAGGCACCTGGTGACTAGAGACCTTATACACCAAATCGGATGATGGAGATCAGTTACGTGTCGTGTTGCTGGACACTCATTTTATTAATTGACTGATAATGACCTGGTCCTTACGCAGATAGGCTCGATCAAAACTACACGTAGCTGCATAATACGATTCATCGTTCTTGGATGTAAGATTTGCCGCGACGTATGTATCCGACTACGCTCGGTGAAACTTGAACAATTGTTTCATTTATTTTTGTGCCTCTCTCGACTGAACATGGCTGTCGTCATTTCCCTGACTAAATAGCAACCCAGATGTATCCGACATGTAGTGACGAGTGCTTCGTGTTCTTTAGTCAATTCGTTTACGAAAGCAACAAGCTTCAAACGTCTATTGCGGTCTAAAAGAAGTTTGCTTGGTAATCCACTTACCATTTGTACGATGGCTGCAGATTGTTGTGCGAAAGTGGTCGTACATAGGTAGGGGGGGGGCATATTTGTCGTTCAAACCATATTGTGGTGTGGTAAAGGTGCGGTGTAACGGGGCACCCTGAAGCTTGTACTGGTGACAGTACAAGCTACTTATTCTGATAACAGAATAAGGCGGTGCCTCGTAACTTCACGTACACTCGTACGTGCAGAGGAAGACGGTAAGAAGAAGCGAGTACTCGGTTAGAGTAAAAAGTAGAACTGTATTTATAATAGTTAATGTCTGCAATAAATCACTATTTATCCTCATCTAACTATGTCTAAATACAAATGTGTAAATCAGTTATCTGCTCACCACTCATTGCGTGCGTCTGTCGTGGCGCGTCTTCGTTGGTTGATATAATGGCCTATATCAACCAATTAGGAACTACTTGGAAGTGCTACAGAATATTGTCCTTATGACAATATTCTGAGAATATAACTCTTATAGTTATATTCTATTAACAATTTCTTATAAATTGTTATGTAACGATTCACCCCGTTACATCACCCCCCTTAACCATCAGTCACTTTAGTGACTGATTGACTAAATGGATACTCGTCCCAAATCATTTGGGACGGGGTTTGCACTTGTTGGTCCGCGTCCACTTTCCAACATCTCATCGCATGGTAAACAAGCCCATGCGATGCGCGAGCAAGGCCGCCGAGAGCGCGTCTGCACGTCTCTGTGCGGACGCCGAAGCAGAAACTACAGCAACTGATATCCCATCGGTTGCTGAATCGACTCAGCCTGTATCACCTGGTGATGCAGGCGCTGGTCATGAAGACACTCGTGTCTTCACAGAGTACGAGCTCGGTGTCTCGTACTCTCCTGATACGGATGACGGATCCGTATCGACGGCAATTGAATCCAAGCCGCCTGCCAAGCGTGGCATGGACGATGCTTTGCGTCGCAGCATCTTTGGTTCATCTGATGAGTCAGATGAACCATCGCCGAAGCGAAGGCGCTCGAGGTCGCGAGACTCGGGCGCTAATAGTGGTGTCGTTTCTCCAATGGACACCACTTCACAGCGAGGTGCCAGTACTTCTGTCGGCACGTCGCAGGAAGAGCGGGACCGCAATGTGTTGCGTCTCGCTCCAGAAAAGAAGGCATGGATGCCTCCTAAATCTGTCATGGATCACTTGTCGGCGACGACGAGTGATCGTTATCGAACACGATTGTTCGATTCGTCAAGGATCCATCACCTTGACCCCAGCGCGAAAGACTATCGCGCTGAACATGAGTTCTTCATCGATGCTTTCTTCAGACATCGATGGTACAGTGGGAATCACAAACGTGATGGTCCCTCACTACTTCAGGCGTGGAACGCCTACATCCATAATCTCGAGGATGTAGGTCGTGACGCTTGGAACGACAAACTTATCAAAGCTCGTGATAAGTTTGAAAAGCGAACCCCGACAGGTGCACGCTATAAGCTGCATCGTCTGTCAAGGGAGAAAGGATTACCCTGCCTCTCTTGGGGAGACTCGTGCCCATGTTGTGTGAACAACTCTGCACGAGCACCTAAGGAGGCTTACCTCCTTACCAGCCCGTGGTGGCGCGTACGTGTCTCTACTGAGATGTACGAAGGGATTGACAACCTGAAATCCCTTTACGACCGTGCCGGGAAGACTTTCTCCGGCGGTCCTTCTGCGGCACAGGATGTGTCGCGTCGTACTGCTCGACCAGACCCAGTACGTCAACCATCAATTGGGAGCGGGGCTCCCAAGAATCCCAGGACGGGGGATAGCCGCGCCACCGGACGAGGTAACTCGTCCGACGT